GCAAACAGTTGGTTTAGTCTTTACCCAAAGCTGGTCCAGTCCCCTTCAATGTTCTCGTTTTGCTGTCATCCACCCCGCCAACCCTAATCTCTCAATCTCTCCTAGAGCCACTTCAGCTATGGCGGACATGGAAAGCTTAATGCGACGTCTGGAGACGGTGGTCAGTCGTCTGGAGGGCGTCGCCGGGGGCGCAGGAAGCGGCCCGGCCGGTGGCAGCCCTGGAGGTACCTGGAGATGTCTTGTCTGCTGTTTCTGAGAGCAGAGCAGACCCTGCTTACAGACGTCACTCTGTCTGAATGGCATCCTAGCGGTTTGGTTGAACGAAGTTCATTGCATAGCTTCTGTGTGTTTCTGTGTTCTTTATTCCGTATTCTTGCTTTCCCACAGCCGTGTCTGTGTATGTGGAAGCCTATGATGAGCTCCTCTCTGGCCCAGTTGCTGAGTATGTTTCCATCAGCCAGCAGATAGGTGGCGACGTCCAAACACATGTAAGTGGGACCAATGGCTGGCTGAGTTTTCTGGTTTCATGGCTGCCCAGCCTTTGTTTTGGGGAAGTTTGAGAACTTTGGAATGACTCTCCCTCCGTCTTGACTCCCCTGACTGTGTGTTGCAGGCACAGATGATGAAGCAGGCTTTCACCAGTCAGAGACAGCTCCTGGTCTTGGCCTCTTCTTCCCAGAAACCCTCGGATGTGAGTCTCGCTGTGGCATTTTTACGCACGGAGGGTGGAGAGTCAGTCCATTCGAGTCTCTGAAGGTTAAAAATGCGTTTGAGTGCCAGGGTGAGCTTTTGTCACATGTCTCTCTTCCTCCACCAGGCGGTGCTGACCACCCTGCTGGCCCCGGTTTCCAGTGTGATCCAGCAAGTCCAGGCATTCCGTGAGAAGAACCGGGCCTCGGCATTCTTCAATCACCTCTCCGCTGTCAGCGAGAGCGTTCCTGCCCTTGGCTGGGTAGCAATGGTGAGCAAGCGCCAGTACAACGTCTGCGCATGTTCATCTGTTTTCACTGATTAATACTGCTGAGTGTGCACATTTCTCATGGGGGAAACATGACTTGTATTTAATCGTTTGGTTCACAACTACCTTTCCTAGGCACCCAAGCCAGGTCCTTATGTGAAAGAGATGCAAGACGCTGCCATGTTCTACACCAACCGTGTTCTCAAGGACCACAAGGACAAGTGAGGGGCTCCTGTTTCCCTCTCCTTCTGTCTTTCTCTTGCTCTTGCTTTTTTTGGCCTGGTAGAGTCTTTATGATTCTGCTTCCGGCTTGTCTGTCAGGGACAAGAAGCACGTGGACTGGGTGAAAGCCTACTTGTCTATCTGGACTGAGCTGCAGAATTACATCAAGCAGCACCACACCACTGGGCTCTCCTGGAGCAAGACTGTGAGTGGCCGTTCGCTTCCGCTGCTCCCAGACCCATCAGCATGAGGGACGAGCTCCACATGGTCTGTATGGATGGTTCTCCTCATCTCTGCCGCCACCTCCTCTTGCAGGGTCCAGTGGCGTCTGCCTCCTCAGCTGCCCCAGCCTGCCCTGCCGGAGTTGCTCCTCCTCCTCCCGGGCCCCCACCACCTCCTATTGATCTGAACCAGTCACCTGCCGGCAGTGACTCTAACATATCTCGCGGCGCCCTCTTCGCCTCGCTCAACAAGGGTGCTGACATCACCAAGGGTGAGTCGCCGTACGACGATTCTGCAGTCGGATCTCAGGCGTGTGCTTGTTTTTAATTATTTTTATGCATAACGACTTGGGGTTTCTTTGTCTTTTGACTTCGTGATGCTGCACAGGTCTGAAACACGTGTCAGATGACCAGAAGACTCACAAGAACCCAGCTCTGAAGGGCCAGGGGGGGCCCGTCCGTTCTGGCCCCAAGCCGTTCTCCGCGCCCCAGCCCACGGCCCCCGCTGCCGTGGCCCGTAACCTACCCCCTGTCCTCGAGCTGGACGGCAAGAAGTGGAGAGTGGTAAGATGGCCGTGTGGCAACTGAGGTGGAGCCCGACACTGCTGGGCTTTCGCCCTGGGGGGGTGGGAAGTGAAATCGAGCACTGGACACTCTGCCCCTCCCTCACTACTTTTTTCTTTTTTTATACTTTCAGGAAAACCAAGTGGGGGCTCCGAATCTGTTGATCAGTGACACGGAGCTGAAGCAGGTTGTCTACGCCTTCAAATGCACCAACAGCACCCTGCAAGTCAAGGGCAAGATCAACTCCATCACTCTCGGTGTGTGTGTGTGTGTGTGTGTGTGTGTGTGTGTGTTTGCACTCACACGCACACAAAGCATCAGCTGTAGCCAGACCCCTCTGCATAAGACCTCATGCTGTATCGCACCAGACTGCTTTCCTAATGGATGCGTGATATCAGCACTAATTCATAGCAAATCCAGTAACGGAGACGAGGTCAAAGTATCTGTTAATGTCTGTAACTCAGTCCTAAAATAACGCCATAGGATGACATTTGATTCTCTGTCACAGCTTGCTGATTGCTAAGGAACTGGTCAATAGGCCCTGTCTTGTGGTCGGAAGAACTGTAATCGGTCACCGTGCTGATTTGGCGTAACGTGACTCCTGTTTTTCTGTCCTGATTCCCGCAGACAACTGCAAGAAGTTGGGTCTAGTGTTTGATGACGTCGTTGGGATTGTGGAGGTGATCAACTGTAAAGATGTCAAAGTCCAGGTGAGATTTTCCATGCATTAGTGGTGAGATCATTTTCAGAGTATCTGTAGCAATCAGCCTCTTTAGCTGCGTTTATACAAGGGGGGGGTCATCTGTGGTCCTACAAACCACTGTTGTTGGTGGCATCTACATTTTAAACAGTCAAAATATATTTGCGGAGACTTCATGGCGCAGTTGAGTCTGATAATTAGTGTAGTGATTGTGAATATTACTCTTGCTGGTGGGGAATTTTTGCTTTGACACTGTTCAGGTTTGCCTCTGATTTTCTTCTAAAAATGAAGTGGAATCTTACTTGCTGCATGTGTCCAGGTGATGGGGAAAGTTCCCACCGTTTCCATCAACAAGACGGACGGGTGCCATGTGTACTTGAGTAGCACCTCTCTGGAGACTGAGATCGTCAGTGCCAAGAGCTCTGAGATGAACGTCCTGGTGCCTGGAGAAGGTGGAGACTATGTAAGTGAGGGACGTGTTCCAGGGTCAGTGCCAAATGAGGGATTAGAGTGGCCCTTTGGAGAGGAATCATTTTGGTTTGGAGTAATTTGTTTTCGGCTAATTGGTGCTGCCGTTTTGGTCTGGCCGCAGTGGATTTACACGCATGTCACATGACCTTGCCGTTCCCAGTGAAGAGTGAGCAAGAACTGCACATGCTTAGGGAAACGCAGCAGCCGTATTGTTAATGATGGAGGCAATATGCTTTTTTTTGTGTAGGTAGGGTACGTCTGACACTGAACCTCTTATTTTCCTTCCTCAGACTGAGATCCCCGTACCGGAGCAGTTCAAAACCGTGTGGGATGGAAAGAAGCTGGTTACCACAGCAAGTGAGATTGCAGGATAAAAGGGAAGCACGTGAGACCGCCCCCTTTGCCAAAGCCAAACAGGCTGACCAAACAATCATAAAGTAGACTGAAATATTACCCGCCACCATATTCCCCATTACCCAATCACAGCTGGAGCTGCTCCATCCCTCAGCCAATGAGAGGATGATTTGCTTTACCTGGAGCAATCCCTCAGCCAATTGTGGAAAGCAGCTTTTCATTCAGTTGGTTGAACAAGGCTTTAGCACTGGCCAATGATAAAGAACCTTCCTCCTTTTTGCCAACCACAAATTTTTGCTTGTATCCTTTTTTCTTTTTTTTTTTTTTAATTTGAACATTCCAGCCTGTGAAGATGTTTTTCAGTAAGGCCAAAACAGTGAAGCAAGGCGTTTTTGTCCTGCATCAGCTTCCTTTTTCGCGTAGCCAATCAGGTAATGGTTCTGGTTTACAGTAGCGAATCAGGTGGGGAATGGGTGTAGTCGGTATCAATGTCCTTCCCTTTTTGGTCAGGGGGCAGGTGCTCTGAAGCTCCTGGAGATTTCTGCTCCATTTATGCAATCCAGCCGTAAAGCACATGTGTAACCTTTATCTGCACTGTCTTGTGTGTAAACAATTAGTGATGACTGTAATGTCCATAGAGAGACTTTCCTGAATTGTTTGTTTTTTTTCCCTCCCATCACTTTCATTTTCAGCACTTATTAGTGAAATGAAATAACGAGTTTATGCAGGATCACTTTTTTTTTTGTTTGTTTTTGTATGCTGATGCACAAAGAGATAAAGATTTAAAAAAAAAAAAAAAAAAAATTCCATTCCAAACAATCATACATTCCTGTTTATTTTCTAAATAGCTTTTCAAAGTAAACATTCCACTTAATGACCCCACACTGGGAGACGTATTTTGGGCACTAACTGGAAAATGGCTTGTTGGTAAAATGCGTTGCTGCCAGCTTCGTCTGGCATCTCCGTCACTGACTTGCAGTGCTGGTCTCCGCTGTGTTGCATGTGCGCGTGTCGAACAGCCATCATGCCCCCCAGAAGCACTTCGGCCTCCTTACCCTATAAGTCTGACTATTCTGTAAAGTGACACCCCCCACCCCCACACCCTGCCCTAATTATTCATGCACTCAAGCCACATCGAAAAATACATGCCCATTAGTAATGGGACCCAGATGGTACCTGGAATCCCCATCGTTGCATGGAGACGGTTTCCCCCGAATCCCTAGACTCGCTCTCAGCTCCAAACACACGCTTCTGTTTGCCTCTGGTATCCCTTCAGCTGCATTGCTGTCATGTGGGATTTGTTTTTTGTTTTCCTCATTTGTTTATGCCGTTTCTGCCACTTTCTTATTGGGGACAGGAATATACTTGCTAATCAGTTGTTCTTGAGGAAGACATCTTAAAATGCAATAAAATATTACTAGAGATTTCCTGTCCTGTTGTATTTGCTTGTGAAAATCCTGGGTGTCAGACCTTCCTGACCATCAAACATAGTCTTAAACACACTACACCATTCTTTGTTAAAATAATTTTATTTCTGATTCCACCACATATCCAAATCATTTCATAGACTCCTAATTCCTTTTTCATTGGTTTAATGGTAGTAAAAGCTAAATTTCAAACAGTGAGATGTAAACAGTACCAACCATAGGGTGTTTGAGTGTAATATTGCTAGTTAAGAATTTAGTAGCAGTAACAGCAGATGAGACGGAGTTGGTGTGCATCCGCAGCAGTTCCCTTGACTGGGGTTTGCTGTGTGTTGATGTTTCTAGCGCAGATACGGCAGTAATTTGGCATCAAACCATTCCCTGCTGAACTGCAGGTGATCTCCCTCAGAGGCAAGGAACACCAGTTTGCCCGCTTTCTCCATAGCCGCCAGACCCAGTCGGTCCTAACAGAGAACACACACGCTCGTGTTAAGTGGTCAAAAACTGCAAAGGACCTCATTGTTCCCCAACAAGAATGACGGCGCTGTTTTGGCAGAAAGAGCTGGGGATTGATACCGTTTGAAGACATTTCTATAGAACTACATAGAAAATGGCACCAGTTACGAACAAGTTACTGAGTATTTTTGAAACTTAACAGGCAATTGAAGTTTTTTTTTTTTTCTGTTTTGAAAAGTGCATGGAGGGCGTGTTGACCTTGTACGTTTTCTAAATATGATTTCAAAATCAGTCAGCAGGTCCACAGTCCAAGTGTCAAGAATGTATTTCCGTATAAAGACCCGCTTACCTCTTTGTACAAAGCGCTCTCCTGTAAGGTCTCTGTCTCTGTGCCCTGGCCTGGCTTATAGAACCCAAACCACTGAAGATACAGGAGAGGCAGGATTAATTATTCCTGTTCAACTCATTATCACAGTCTAAGTCTGCTTGTCTGAGTTTTCCATACCTCGCTGTCGACTGGGTCCACAACACTGTCCTGCAGGAACTTAACCATCACAAATTTTTCCAGAGATTGCAGGTTCTTCTTATAGGACTCATTAACCATCTGGGGTGAGACGGAAAGGTACCCAAATGTATTTTGGTAGCAGACTTATGTCGTAACTAATGACTACTAATGAATTTTTCCATCTATAAAAACATGCAAACTTATAATCGACAACTGTTGCTATAATAAAGTTTAAAGCGATGAGAAGTTCACATATTCTGACACTGCTTTCAAGTTGACAAAGCCAGGAATGTTTAAATGATGTCAATCCCAGCAAAGTTCATTCTGATGCCGTATCACTGACCCGCTCCTGATTGACATCAGCAAGGAAGAGGCTGTGAGTTCTGTACAGGTCCTCATTCAGTGGGTCATGCCAGTACTGCGCCTGCACTAAACTGAGACGGCAGAGACAGGGGGGGCGTGTGACGGGGGCTCTGTCATGTTTACCCAGACACACCCAGGCCTTCGAATGCAAGCTGAAACTCACTGTTTCTGCACCAAGTCCCTATAGGCGCCAGAGTTGAGCATCTTCCGAATCCAGTCGCAGATATGAGACGTCTCCCCCGGACACCTGGGTAGGCCGTACACCCCTGTCAGAGGAAAAACACGGGCGCAGGGCCACCACTGAGCACTGCAGCAAAACGGGTCAAATTCAGGATCAGAGGCAACGGTAAAAGCAGGAAAGGGAGCGGCAGCTCTGCCCGGAGTGTGCGCCCCATACCTTGATGCTGACCCCCAACGGAAATAAGGGTCTTCATGGGTGGGGAGGGACATCGCTGAGCCACTGCTCTCCTGGGGTGATGGGGGCAGTATATAAAACAAAAAAAAAAGACTGAGTCTTCTCATCCACAAGCCATTAAGATGACAAACAAAAGCAAACTTGTGTTAACACCCCCCTCCAAGCCCTCCATTCTCCATGCTCACAAGAACTGCCCCCCCTGGGAGAATCCCATGGCATTGTAGCCCCCCTTCAGCTTGGGATCCTGGGCGAGCTGCTCGCACGCCATGGAGACCTGCGTGTTCACATCCAGGAAGAAGCCATTTTCTGTGTCCTGGCGGGGGGGGGGAGAGATGACGGTCATTCAGAGAGACGGTGTGAAGATGTGTCAGGATGGAGAGAGGCGGCCAGGGGGGGGGTCACTGCCCTACCTGTGCGATCGTCTTGCCAATCATCAAGGAGAGGACGTACACCCCTGGTAGGTCCTCCTCCACCATCTTCTTTATCGCACCCATGCTCAAAGGGTTACAACAGCTATCCCCTGTAAACGAGAGTGGGGGGGTTAATAATGACCTTTAAAGGGGGAAGTGATTCTGAAACAAGAAAATAAATTTAGCTTCTTATACAACAATTCCAAGCATGATTATTTTCAGGTTCATTTTAACATTACAGTTATTTAGAAGATGATTTAATCCAATGTAACACATATTCTTTGGGAAAGCAGGGTCAGTGAGTCTCTGCAGCAATTTGGGGTTATCAGCCTTTCCCTGGGGCCCAAAAGTGGGATTTAAACTGACGACCTTCCGATCACAGACACAGCATGCTAACCTGCTGAATGACAAATATTAATATAAATATTAATTTCTTATGTTTGTTATTGCAGACCAATAAATGTAAAGACATCTATATTAAAATACTTCAAAGTAACAAGAACAGGAGTTACAGAAAAAAAGACAACACATGCACGCGCTCAGTTTTCCGTAACATTTAAATCTTTGGCATATGAAATAGTAGCATATACATCTAAGATCAGTCAGTCAACCTGCTCGTATTTATGAGGAAATGAGTACTGGAACACACAAGCGATCCGTACCCATGTTTTTACAATCTTACCCATTCCATGCCACATAACAAGAGGGAGAGTATTGTTGGACCCCCAAGCTGGATTCAGGGCAGCGAGCAGCAGCCATAAGGTCCCCATAAGCAGACACGCCGGTGGCATGTTTGTGGCTGAAACAGTTTCGCAGACGGAGCAGAGCAACGACGGACAGCGACGGACTTTCCGTGGTCAAATCTGAACACAATAGGTGAAATCACGTGATATAAAGCATAAAAGAGAGAGAAACGTTTCTAGACTGAAGGAAGCTAATTGGCTCAGAATATTAAGTAAACAGTAGCCTTAAGCCTACGCAATATTAGATAATGATCATTTGAACAGGCAAACCGGCTTACTCGCGCCTGATAGCTTGATATGGTTTTCCCGGTTGTAATACTACGTTTTTACGGACCCTTCAATATAACGATTTTTCGATCAGAATGCATACCCCTAACGGAAATGAATTGGAAAATAACGTAATGTGTTTACTTGATACCTTTGATTATTTGGTGCGCGTTTCCGCAGTCATTGTGTATCCGCATCACGTGACCGCGCCACTGCAGCGCTTCTGGTGCCGAGGCAGAGCGACGTCTGTGCTCTTTTTTTTGGAAGTTAAGTAGCACTGCTATCGCTAATGAATAACTGATTACGTCGAAACATACATTGCTTTTTAGGTTAAAACATGGTCAAATAACGTCAATATATTTTGTTAAGTCCGATCCATTAAATTATTTTATCTTTAGAGTTTATAAGTCTGGGACATCACCGGAGTCACTACAATAATTTCATCCATGATACCGGCAATAAAGAAATCTTACTCGATGTAGCAGAACGGTGTGATTTCACATAAATTAATTCCACCGAAAGCTCTATCAGAAGCTCTGCTATAATAAAACTAATACAGTTTTGCTTTTGATTTTGCTTGCTGTTGGTTGAATGAATCGTTTTATTTTTACTTTGCAAGAAAAAGTAAAGCGACACCTATTATACATTTTCTCATATTAGTTAGCACGAATAACCTGGGAATTTTATCTGTATCTGTAACCCAGTCCATTTTACATGCTATATCATTTTCTGTGTAGTGTGAGTTATTTGTGTTGTATTTATCCCGGCAAAGTTTCCCTCATCCGTGCACGTGCTTATAACACTTTCTCGGACTTGACTGATCGTTGCCTAACGGAACGTAGATATGATTAGCTAATCTATCTGGTCAATGAAGCTGCTTTGCTCAGTCAACACATGACAAACTGAGCCATGACCTGGCCTGTATACTCAGAAGTAGTTCATTCTTATTGGATTCATGTTATTGAATGGTCCTAATGTGCAAAATTTATGATGGCAATAAAGAAATCTTACCCATTCTGATGAAGTAAATGAATCAGATGTGTTCTGTGTGCACTGGGTCAGCTATTCAAGTCCTAGTCTAAGGCTGATGAAGTAGCTGCTGTTATGCATGTTACAACCTGACCATCCTGGTGTTTTAATAGTGCTTTCCAATAGAACCAATGCTCATTCAACCAGAAATGCCTGTTCTATCCAGGGTTGCTGAGTGAGCAGCAGCAGCAACCTGAGTCAGTACCCACACAGCCAAACACAGGCTGTCTGAGAGTCAGTACACACACAGACAAACACAGGCTGACTGAGAGTCAGTACACACACAGCCAAACACAGGCTGTCTGAGAGTCAGTACACACACAGACAAACACAGGCTGTCTGAGAGTCAGTACACACACAGCCAAACACAGGCTGTCTGAGAGTCAGTACACACACAACCAAACACAAACTGCCTGAGAGTCAGTACACACAGTCAAACACAGGTTGCAGGAGAGTCAGTACACACACAGTCAAACACAGGCTGTCTGAGAGTCAGTACACACACAGCCAAACACAGGCTGTCTGAGAATCAGTACACACACAGCCAAACAGAAGCTGCCTGAGAGTCAGTACACACAGTCAAACACAGGCTACAGGAGAGTCAGTACACACACAGCCAAAAACAGGCTGTCTGAGAGTCAGGACACACACAGTCAAACACAGGCTGCAGGAGAGTCAGTACACACACAGACTGTCTGAGAGTGAGTACACACACAGCCAAAAACAGGCTGTCTGAGAGTCAGTACACACACAGCCAAACACAAGCTGCCTGAGAGCCAGTACACACACGGTCAAACACAGGCTGTCTGAGAGTTAGTACTTCCAGATGGATAGATGTACATTTTATAGCAAATATGTTAATACACATTTTTAATATTTAAGATTTTTCTTAGAAATAAAAGTTTTACGAATAAATGTAAAAAACATTCAAAATAATGCAGCATTTAATTTGTAAAATAAATATCTCTGGGAGCATTTTACATAAGTGCATATTAAAGGTCAACAAAGCAATGTGATTTTAATCAATCAATTTTAAAATGAGCGCTGGCTTAATGTGGCTACATTGACGGGACATTAGTTTGTCGTTGTTTTCAGGGGTGGTTTATTCTTTTAAGTACTGTGACTTTCCTGAGGCTGCACTTTTAGAGATGGTGTTAATTTAATTTTATTGAAGCAATGCATTAAAAAGTTACATCCATTTTTTCCACCAGAGCCATTCAAATAGTCTGTAAAACCAGCCAGAATATCCATATCGCAAGAAAAATAGCCCAGGACAGAGATTAATTAGCAAATGCATAATTACTAAATTATGCATTAGATTCAGGGACGGATTACGGACCGGGCCAGCGGGGCCGCTGCCCAGGGGCCCTTGGGGTGCAGGGGGCCCATGGGGCCCCTAGCCCAAAACAATTTGCAACGCTTATCAACAATGTATTTTCTTTTGTCTATTTTAGAGGGCCTACATTCTTTGATCCTCTGCCTACAAGGGCCCCTGACCCTATAGGGCCTCTGATGGAAACATGGAGGGAGGGCGTTAGGCTGCCAAGGGCCCTTGAATTGTGGTGGTTGTGGTGGTGGTGGGGGGCCCTCGCGAACGTTTTGCCCAGGGGCCCACACAACCCATAATCCGTCCCTGATTAGATCTGATAATAGCAATTACGAGAATATGACAGTTTCATTCCCATAATGAAAACCATCAGGACCCAGTTTAGTATAAACATTCATAAAGTTTTAGTCCCCGATCTTTGTAATAAAAACTGAACACGTAAAATGAAAAAGACAAAACAAATTTCTGTTGCCTTTGGTTGAATTACCTTGCCACTATTTTGAGGTTTTTTTTTTTTAATCCGTGAGCTACATATGTGTATGCCGAATTAAGGCTCCGTAACTGATATATGTCCCGTCCCTCTCCGCCTCCTCCTGCCTATTTGCCTTGGCTTTCTTTGGGATGTACCGAGTCGCAGACCGTCACATCTAGCACAGGGTTTTCCAGCTTCCGTGGTCGCCAACAGCCAGCTCGTCATCGCACCTCACGATTTGTTCATCATAACGAATAACTGTTTTGTTTCCTTGTAGCCCGAGCACAGATAACGCCTAAGCGTTTAACTAAATGAGGATAGACGGAAAGCAATGCAGGCTATTACACCAGAGCCTAGTATAACCTATTTACCGAAATAACACGTTGTACACTTAATTTGTGTAATTTGTGGAATGAGAATGTTACTTTTGGGGTAGTGTAAGAGTTTTCACAGAACGGAACCCCCCGGCGCGCTTTTTCTTGCGTGACTCTGGGTGGCAGCAACAGCATCTGGCAGCGCCGGCGACTTCCTGCTGCCCGGCCAGGGCGATCACATGATCCGGCAAAGTTCGGCGTACAAGTTTCTCCGGACGTTCCGCATTGCCAGCTGTCGGGGATGCGGTGACTCTCCGGACCGAAAGTTAACCGGACCCAGATCGTCCGGCTCCACTGGACTCTATCAGCCATCTAGCCATTATTAGGTAGGGCTTTTAATAGTTATTTTTTGTGACATGGAATAGCTTCTAAAGTGTTGTTAAACTTAAGTATGTCAACAAGTAAAAACCGTGATTGGTAACATCTCATTCTTTGTTGCGACTGTGATCCGGGGAATAACATGAACATATCCAACATATCCAACAAAATTATAATTAAAGAAGTTCCCATTACTGACAGAATATACAAATTCAATGTTCAGGTTTTCGTTTTCTTCTAAGTTAAATGGTTTATTTTTTACTGTTTATTTCTTATGGCAAAATCCGCTGTTAGGTCTGACAAGTCACTCAGAGATTTTTGCGCTCATGTATAGAGTTTACGATATTAAGTTTAAAAAAAAAATCAGTTTTCGTTTGAGAAAAAAATACGGAAGTAAATTTGGAAGTCAAATTAAAGTGGGCAACAAACAAACTCAGAATTTTATGATCATTGATCAGAATTTTATGATAAATTGCATCATTATAATGATAAAAACGCACGATTTATTCTTCTTCTTTTGTTAATTCTGCAGCTGGAAGTATTAGCTGATATATTTTAAGGATTATTTTGTTAGTATTATGCTGAGACATTATGCGCAGCATCACAGGCTATGACAACACGTCTTATATCACTTCATAAAGAGACTACAGAATAATTTTATTGTTGTGTCTGAGATTTGTAGTCTAGGCTTTGATATAAGCTGGTTTGTTTGCATAAGTGCTACACAGTCAAAGTCCTCTCATACAGCGGCTGGTATCCTAAATGCGATACGTCCCTCCATGAAAGTGACAGTTCATGTTGAATTCCGTTTGCAGTCCGTGACTGGGCACCATGTGACCACATAATTCCCCTCTACACAATGTTCCAAATACCTCTACTTCTGCTTCTGGTGAGAAGAACAATCTATGTTAGTACTGATATGTTTGTTCTCCCTTTTCTAATAGAGATCCTCTCATGTTGTAATCTCTCATTGGCCCGTTTGTCTTCTTGTGTTTATCTGAATATAGTTATTTATAGTCTAACTCATCCATATTTTTTGTGTTGTCATATTAAGCTTATCTTCCCCTATGTGGTAACCCTTTTTGGGGAATTTGCAAACAGAAGTGTGACCTCAGCTATATATGGTGACATACGGCCCTTTGCAGGAGTGTTTTCACCAAAGCTGATCAGCTTGAGACTTGCTTGTTTATGGATGTATGTGCGGCCACTCAGTCCTTCACCAGCGGGGTCTTTCACTGTGACAGGGCGCCTTGTCAGGATGGGGCAGTGAACTCACGGAATACAACCTTCTTATGCTGTCACCTGACCACCAGGAAGGCCAGTCTGGGTGACTGGTTACCATGGCGCGGCTCCTGGGTTCCAGTAACCCTGTCCTCAATGAGAGGAGTGATGAAATCACACCACTTTTGGGGAAACAAGAGGACGAATCAGGTGTGTTGCTGTCTGTGTGTGTCCAACCTCCGTCTCTGGTCGAGTTGAATTTTTGAGTGTTATTTTTGCTACGGGACACTAGCCGTGTATCTGTCATGTGCCACAGCGCCTCCCCAGTGCTGCTCTGCACGCTGCAACCTGGCCGCTCTGATGTTCTTCGGTTTCGCCGTCGTCTATGGGCTACGCGTCAATCTTAGCGTTGCCATGGTTGCCATGGTCAACGGGACCAATGCCCAGCCATCCAGCAACAGCTCCGAAGAACAGGGATGTCCATCTTCTGGTCCCAGTTTGAACGGCAGCAGTAGCTCCGAGCAGGCGGGGGGGGTGAGGACCCGCACACACGAACGCTGATAGACGAGAAAGACAAACGTACACAATGTGACATGTTCTCTCACAGGCCCCGCGGTATCCCTGGGATTCAGCCACACAGGGCTATCTCCTGGGGGCCTTCTTCTTTGGCTACTTGGTGACTCAGATCCCTGGGGGGTATCTAGCCGGGCATCTGGGCGGACGGATCTTCCTGGGCGGAGGGGTGCTGGGCACGGCGGGCCTCACCCTCCTCACGCCTCTGGCGGCTGGACTGGGGGTCCCGTGGCTGTTCGCCCTGCGTGCCCTCGAGGGCTTCGGTGAGGTGAGAAGCGCTCAGGATGTCAGGACCAGGGGATGAGCGATCGTGTGCCACAAGTTCAGTTTCACACTCATTATGAGCGATCGTGTGCCACAAGTTCAGTTTCACACTCATTATGANCGTGTGCCACAAGTTCAGTTTCACACTCATTATGAGCGATCGTGTGCCACAAGTTCAGTTTCACACTCATTATGAGCGATCGTGTGCCACAAGTTTCACACTCGTTTCCTTATTTTACAGCCGCTTTTATCAAGATTTGTGCGTACTGATGCTGTGTGTTTCAGGGTGTGACGTTTCCAGCAATGATGGCCATGTGGGCCCGCTGGGCTCCGCCCCTGGAGAGGTCGAGCCTCATCAGCTTCTCAGGAGCGGGGGCCAGCTGTGGGGCCTTTTTGGCGCTGCCCCTCACCGGCTTCATCTGCCACAACCTCGGCTGGCCAGCTGTCTTCTACTGCTGTGGTAATGGCTGTTTTAGGAGCCCCGTCCTGTCTGCCCCCCACACACCCCAGCAGGCACCTACAGACCTGCTTGCTGTCACACACATAGCAATAATAATAATCACTTTGTCTTTGCCATTACCTACCCCAGGGGTCTCGAAAATCCGGTCGCGAGAGTTACTATCAAGTAGGTTTGCTGTTTTTCTCAGGTAAATACCAGGAACAGCTGTGGCTCATCAGTAGCCAAGTAGGATAGAAAACCTACTGGACAGTAGCTCTCCAGGACCGGAGTTGGAGACCCCTGACCCACCCCATCTTAGTGTCCATAGCTTGGGGGGGGGGGGGGGGGTCACAACACAGGGTGAGCCAACATGAGGCACCCCTTGAGTTGGGGGTTAAGGGCCTTACTTTTCTGATCACAAGCACAGAGACTTAGCCCCCTAACAAAGAATGACCTCAGCATCCCCTCTAACACACATGTAAGCTCCCCTATGAGCATCATGGTAGATAACTGCATCCAGGATTTGTAATACTCGCACTTTATACATTAATGAAACATGCATTCACTGATTCAGTTCATAGTCACACGTTATACTCACATTCTCCACCAGGGGGCGGCGGCTGTCTATGGGCAGTGTTCTGGTTTTGTCTCGTGACTGATGAGCCTCAGTCTCATCCACGAATCAGCAAGCGAGAGAGAGATTACATCGTCAACTCCATTGGGTCACAGGTAATACAATACCCTGTTCCTAAAATATTGCCTGCCCATATATGACCACTAGATGGCACCTTTTCTACTAAACCGACATACAGTGTATATGTGTACATATTAATGAATGAGTGATTGAATATTACATTTATATTGTGCGTTTCAAGACACCCAAAGCACTCTACAGAAATGGTGCGGAGCCACTTCACCCACCACCCCTGTGTAGCCCCCAGCTGGATGATGTGACAGCAGCCATTCTGCACCAGGACTAGGGGAATATATATATGTAAAAACTCTCCTCACCCACCACAGGGAAGTGCCCATGGCTGGAAGGTGCCAGTCCTGCCCATGCTGCTCTCTGTGCCCCTGTGGGCGATCATCATCTCCCAGATGTGTGCCAACTGGAGCTACTACACCCTGCTGACCTCGTTACCCATCTACATGGACACTGTGCTTCACTTTAACCTCCAGCAGGTAAGGGGGCCACTGACCAAGGAGGGCAGGCAGCTGGGAGGTATGAGGGATGGGGGACAGGTGGAGGTATGAGCGATGGAGGACAGGTGGAGGTATGAGCGATGGATGACAGGTGGAGGTATGAGCGATGGATGACAGGTGGAGGTATGAGCGATGGAGGACAGGTGGAGGTATGAGCGATGGATGACAGGTGGAGGTATGAGCGATGGAGGACAGGTGGA